AACAGCACAAAAAAATTCACGTATATTTCTTGCAATTATGACATATAGCACACTAGTCTAATAATACACGGCTGCATATACGCCGAAATATGTACAGAAGAATCGAGTCAAGAAACTACTGCCATCGCATTACATTAATAGAAGCATTCTGGAAGAATGCGGTTATTTGTTGAACACTCTCCATTTTTAGCTACAAAAATTGTATGAAACATTTGTTTTTATGTCGTACGCATTCGCAGAAAAAAAGGAGATCAACGTGTCCTTCTAAATTTTTGTCCTTGTGTAACGCAGTTTATTTCTTATATAGTTTCTTAATAACATGTCGAAACAGCTACAACTTTGGGAGGGGATATGGATGGTAGAGGTGCTTGCTACTACCCATAAACAAACTCTGGAATACACTGTATTGTTAGACAGTGATAGAAATATTGTGATCAAAATGTCATCATGTCACTTGGGTTTAAGTCAATATATATATAAACGGTTAGAAAATTTTGCCAGCGTAACAATTTTTTCAAAAAAATCTCCTACCCACGCCGAAAGATTTTACGTTTCTATTCACTTAGTTCGGTGGAAGGCAAGGGGAAACCACCGCTGTACACTCTCAAGCACAACATGATAAACGACAATACTTCCAGTCAAGATAACAGCGTGAATGAGGTTCTAAGAGAGAACAACTCGCTCGGTAGAGGTGTTCATGTACGATAGGTGACCCTCGATCGTCAACAGGCTACTGTCCTCATCAAAAACTCTCTCAAAATAGAAACATGGAATGTAAGAACAATGTTTCACAAAGGAAAACTAGACAATATAACGAACGAAATGGAACGGATGAATATAAATGCGTTAGGCTTATCTGAAGTCAGATGGCTGGGTGCTGGATCTTTTACAACGGATACTTCTTAACAAAAAGACCTCCAAAAGTTTTCAAGGTTTTGGGACGGTTTCAGACAGGGTTATCCTGGTAAAACTCTACAGCAAACCTTTTAATATTTCATTAATTCAATGTTACGCACCAACAGTCGATTATGATGATGACGCAATCACGAGCTTCTATGAAGATCTAGACAAAGCATACAAACAATGCAAGTCTGATGATATCATCTACGTAATGGGTGATTTCAATGCGAAAGTGGCAGATAAAAGAATTGCCAATACAGTAGAACCTTTCGGTCTAGGGGACAAAAAATGATAGAGAAGATAACTCAATAGCATGGTGTCAATCACATAATCTCGTAATCACAAACACATGGTTCAGAAATCACCCACGTAGACTATGGACATAGAGAAGCCCAGGAGATCAGGCAACAAATCAGATAGCCTATATTATAGCCCCTCATCGATTCAGGAATTCAATAATCTTCTCAAACGCATTTCCTGGGGCGGACGGCGATAGCAATCATGTCCCAGTCATCAGCAAAATTCGAGTAAAACTAAAAAGAATAAAACAGCCACAGAAAAACATAAAGCTTCAGGTTCATATTCTGAAAACTGATCGAAATTTGCAAGAAAAATTTCGCATCAAAGTACAGAATCGTTTTGAGGCACTAGGCCAAATTACAGAAACTGAGGTGTCGTGGGAACAGATGAAATCATCAATACTAACATCTGCCGAAGAAATATTTCTAAGAACTGAAATAAAGAAAAAGAAAAGATGGATGACTAATGAAATTTTACAACTGATGGAGCAAAGACGACTAGAAAAGTCAAACCCTCACGAATACCAACTGATAGACAAATCAAATGTTCAGAGATTGAAAATAAGTTGAGTGTAAACACCAAATTCGCTCATCAAGAGATCAACGAAATAACAGGAAAATCAAGATGCGCGCCAGTTCAGGTTGTATTAAATTAAGAAATAGAACCGTTCTAATGGAAGAAGGTGACATACTGAACAGGTGGTCCGAATATATAGAGGAACTCTTCGATGATAATAAAGCTTCTAAGCCTTGCATTAAGAAAAATATAGAAGGCCCTCCAATAATGAAAGACGAGATAAGACTGGCTATAAAATCAATGAAAAAAAAATAAAGCGACAGGGCCAGATGGAATATCCATCGAAATGATTCAATGCCTCGATGAATTAGGTGTATATATCATGACAAAACTAATAAACAAAATACATAACACCGGTGAAATTCCGGAAGACCTAACAAAATCAATATTCATAGCACTTCCAAAGAAGCCTGACGCTACTGAATATGAATTACATCGCACAATCAGTCTCGTGAGTCATATTACAAAAGTTTTGCTAAAGATTCTGATGTTGCGTATGAAGAATAAGATTACGCCAGAAATACCAAAAGAGCAATATGGATTTATTCCTGATAAGGGCACTAGAAATGCAATCTTCATCCTTCGAATGATAATCGAAAGATCAATTGAAGTCAAGCATGACCTATACCTATGTTTCATTGACTACACAAAAGCTTTTGATAAAGTCAAACACGACAGTCTATTCCAAATTTTGGAAAAACTTCAAATCGATGGCAAGGATCTACAAATAATTCGAAATCTTTATTGGGATCAAAGAGTTGCCATACGAATAAATAACGATACCATTGAATACACAGGTATAAAGAGAGGTGTCAGACAAGGCTGTGTTCTATCTCCAGATCTTTTCCACATATATAGTGAAATGATACTTAGAAATCTGGAAGATGTTGAAGGAATAAAAATCGGAGGTAACAATTGTAATAATATAATATATGCAGATGACACTGTATTAATGGCAAGTAATGAACAAGATCTACAGAAAATGATTGATATAGTCTCAAAAGAAAACATAAAATTGGACTATCACTCAATATCACGAAAACAGAATGTATGTGTGTTTCGGAGAATAAAATCATACCGACATACAAATTTTACATAAATAGAGAACCAATCAAGCAAGTAAATCGCTTCCACTATTTGGGATCCATTATAACCTCAGATGGGTAGATGTGATGAAGACATCAAAATGAGAATAGCTCTTTCTAAACAAGCGTTTCAAAAGATGAGTGCCGTTCTGAAAAATAGAACCATATCGATCGACACTAAAGCACGAGTACTTAAATGATACGTTTGGTCGATACTATTATACGGTTCCGAATGTTGGACAATTAGTAAAGAAATGAAAAATCGCTTAGAGGCTACTGTGATATGGTTTCTCAGAAGAATGCTTAATGTACCTTGGACTGCTTGAGAAACAAACGAATTAATGCTGAAAAGAACGAAATAGGGCAGATTTTTAATCAATACCATCCATTATAGGCAACTAAAATTCCTTGACCATATAGCCCGTAAAGGTTGCTTAGAATATCTAGTATTGAGTGAAAGCTCAATGGAAAGAAGATAAAGGCCGACCGAGAATCAAATATTTAGAAAACGTGAACCTTTGGATTGAAAAGCAGGGTTACACGAAAATAGACTTTCTTCACGCAAAACAAGGTCGGAAGAATTGGCGCATCATGTTAGCCAACGTCTGTAACAAATAAGGTACCTATCTGATCTGATCTGATCCACTTAATTAAGCTAATTGCTTCGCTCCTACTTTTGTGTACTTCTTCGCGCAGCATTAAACCTTTACCTTGAGTAATATTCAGCGCTTGCCATCGTATTGTTTGAATGGAATGTGGTATAACTGCTTGCAGAAGTTTTCCGTGTTCAGCTATCGTATCACACTCAAAGAATGATCGAATCGGTAGAATATCAGGATCAAAATTGAAAAGTGCTTGGTACTGCTGATACAAGTGAAGAAGTAAAAGAGAGTCACCACCAACATCGAAGAAGCTATCTGAATTTGATTGATGAAAAAACGTTGAAGTATTTAACTGAATAAGATCTGAAGATAATGCTTGGCTTGTAATCAACGGCAATTGATTGCATTCGTTCGATGTCAAATCATTGTATAATTGGTCTTTACTCAATATTTGATTCCAAATGTTTGCAATCACCTTTTCTAACTCAGTGCTTGGTGGTAAACAAGTGTTTTCTTTTTGTAAACTTGTCCTTGATGTTTTCGCTAAGGATTCCCGATCAACTTGACCATTTGAATTTAATGGAAACGTCTCGACATGCCGAAAATATGATGGTATCATATAATTTGGAAGTTTGTTGTTTAAATACGTTTTCAACAAAAAATTATAATCTGACATTGATCTAGCGGTCGAAATTGCACGGTCATACTTTTGTTCGTTAGTTATTTTTCCAATGAATAATGTATGTAACAATTTATCTTGTCTATTCAAAAAATCAGGAGCTTGAACAATATCTAGTGTAGTACGAAGATTGATTGGCAAACTCGTAGATACGCCAATTGGACACATACCAATATTCATTTCTAAGCCATCACTCATTAGTGAATGTGACATTATACCAGTGCTTAGTCTGTCTTTAGATCGTCCGATGAAAAAGATCACAGTTTGACAGTTACGAAATATGGCTTTCGTGTAATTATCAGTTTCAAAGGACAATGGTATATCTTCTTTTACTGTAGCTACTTCGGTATCAAGAGGTGTAATAGCTTCATTTTTCTCATCATAGGTAAACCATTGATCTGCGTTATTTTGAGCGAACTTTTGATAAATAATACAACGCGGATAATAACTATCACATACATGTTCTTTTACAGATGAAAACTCGAAACAATAATGAGTATCATTTTCATCTAAATTGAAAATAGACATTGGTATCTCATGGTGGTTAGTTCTTGTAATTATAAATCCTAATCGACCTGCTTCTTTTTTCAATAATCCTATAATATAACCCGTTTCTAGTTCACAAAATTGTGAAGCTAATGTTTTTCCACACAGAGGCGCTATTGCCGCTGATCGTCCAATGAGATGTAGACGTGTATTAATATTCTTACAGTCAACAAAGGCATCAATTAATTGTAAGGTGTGTTGAACTGGATTATGATAATAGAGACCAGGCGATATATTCTGTGAGAATGTACAAATTTCAATATATGTTTGAACAGGATAAAGGTTTTCATATGATGCATATCGATATTTAGGTAAAGGTTGATTGAGAACATTAATCGGTGTTAATAATGATAATAAATAATTGAGAGTATCGAAACTGAAACTATCTTCAGATATGTGTTCGGTATTTTTCTTATTACTATAGCATTTAGTTAATAAGTGTTCAATATCCGATTTTTCAACAATGTCATTCATGAATTGTCGATAAGTTTTTCTTTGATAGTAAGAACTAATTAATTTTTCTGTCAGCTCTGGTCTCGTCAAGACAAAACTTGTTTCATCTACATATTGACGTTTTACTCCATGCCTTGCAAGTTTAAAATTAGTACGTTCAATTGGATCAAACATTGAAATTTCTAATTGATCAAATTCATTATGATGATGAGAATTTGTTTGTAGTTGAATATATCCAACTAATTGTCGAGAATTTTGATCTTGAGTAACAACTGCTTGATGAATATCTGAATGTTGCTGTAAATAATATTCAATTTCGCCAAGTTCAATTCGATGACCATGAATGTTAACTTGAGAATCTTTTCGTCCAATAAATTCGATATAACCATCAGAAATAAATCTCCCATAATCACCTGTTCGATAAAGACGCTCACCAGTTCGTGGATGAATAATAAAATTTAAATCTGTATGTTCTTGATCATTCCAATATCCATGAGCAAGACTAACACCACCAATATATAATTCTCCAGTCACCCATTCAGGACATTCATTAAGATTTATATCATAAACGTGATATTGTTGGTTTCTTAATGGTGTTCCACATGGAATTGATTTCCATTTTTGTGGAATCTTCTCGGGTAATGTATAAGCAATTGACCAAATCGATGCTTCTGTTGCACCAGCCAAACTTGTTATTGTTAATTGCTCACCAAATGTTTTCCGTATTGATTTTATTAAAGATAATGATATTAAATCGCCACTTAATAAAATATGTCTTAATTGTGTTTGACTATAATTCTGTTTTAAAAATTCAATTAACATTTGTATTAACATAGGAATAGTATTCCAAATAGTTACTTCGTATTTAATCATCATATCATACCAATGCTGGGGATTGTTGTAATGTTCATGATCTGGAACAACGACAGTTCCACCTTTGATCAACATTCCAAATATATCATAAATCGATGAATCAACATTTAAATGGGATAATGCAAGTACGCTGTCATTAGGAGAAATCTCTAACCTTGAATTCATATCAATAATTGTATTAAGCACCGCCTGGTGGCTAATCATAACACCTTTTGGGTGACACTTTGAGCTAGATGTATAGATAACATAAGCTAAATCGGTTTCTAATTGCTGTTTCAAAGGAAATGGTTTAGGATAATCGATATTGGAGAACGTTGTAACTGAAATGGTTGTTAAATTTTGAAATTGATGATGACAATCAGATTGTGTAAGAATAGTTTTAACATTAGTTTGTTGAATCAATGAAGACAGGCGATCATCTGATGAATCAATATCCAAAGGTAAATAAGCATTACCCGAGATTAAAATAGATAAACAAGCAACAATTTGTTCCCAACCTTTCTTCATTAGGACGCCGATTATTTGATTGCATTCCATTTCATGTTGTTGCTGTAAATAATATGCCAATGAATAAGCACGATCCACCAGCTGTTTATAAGTTAAGCTTTGACTTGTAGTTTGAACAGCCCAAGCTTCGGGTGTTTGTTGAGCTTGTTTCATGACGAGTAAATGCAGTAATTGTTCTTTGGTATTTGATTTCCATTGTGTCTTATTAAAATTGGCTCTTCTTTCTTGTTGTTTAATTGGAAGCGAGATTAAGAGCGGTTTGTACCACATATCATCACACAAAGCCAATTGTTGAAGTACGTCAATGAATGTATGATGAATGTTACTGATCATTTCTGATGGAAATAAATTTTCTACATAATTCCAATTGGTTAATAAATGTTCATCTTTTTCGAATACAATGTGGTTGAGAAAAACTTGTGGTATTTGAACAATCGAATACACCGGCAGTTGATCTAAACAGTAATTTTCTGGATTGTTGTTTTTATTTGTGTCAGGAGTACCTATTCCATATGTAAAAGCAATTGGTAAGATTATTTTTCTTGTTTGACGTGCTTTCATCAAGTCGCGAATAAATGATACGCCGCTGTAAGATATATGTTCGAGATCGTTTCGTAACTGTTTTTGAATAGTTTCAATGAATTGATTGAAATTAATTGGTTCAGTTAAATTGATCTCTAATAGCAGAGTTGTTGTAAAATTACCTGCTAAGTCATTTACTTGTGAATGAGTAGATGACTGGTTAAAAATTGGTAAATTAAAAGCAAAATGTTTGTTTTCACTCCATTTGGACAAAACTATCGCATAAATAGATATTAAAAAGTTAACTGATGTCCACTTATGATTACTAATACGTTGTTTTAATTTCTGCCATATTGATTTGTCTAATGTTAAGGACGAATTACAATGTCTCTGAATGTGTAGCTCGTTTGGCAAACATTGTAATGGCAAATTAGGACCTGATGGAAAGGAATTTAAACGATCAAGCCAATATTTTTTATCCATTTTATAAGTAGTTGTATTTTTAAATTGTCGTTGAGTCAAGACATAGTCTTGAAAAGAAAGATTTATAGTATTCAAAGGAGCATTTGACATAAAATACAACTGATTCCATTCACTCATAATTAACTTTATACTCCATAAATCCAAAACGAGAAGATCAAGACCGATATGCAAACGTTTATAAAATTCATTGCCAATACTAAAACAGGTCACTTGAATATCAAAAAGTGGCCATTGATTTGATGGTCGAACTTGATGTGATAGTTGTTTCCGTCGTTCTATTAATACTTCTTCGATTGATTGAATATCATTCAAGTCCAATATAAATATCGTGTAGTTAGGAACCTTTTCGAGAATTCTTTGTTCTGTATTAGACGGAAAGATGATACGTAAGGCTTCATGACGTTGAATTAAATAATTCCACGCTTTCTCCAATTGTTCAATATCAATTGTTGATGACATGTCATATTCTTCATACTGGAAACAAGAAGCGTGATCAGACTGATTAATAACTTCTCGTCCTATAAGATATGCCTGTTGGATTTCTGTAACTGGAAATGGTCGGTATTTTTCAATTTGATTTACGCCTAAAGTATACGTTTGTTTCGTCCGTATACTCTTAATCGTGACTGTCTGCAATAATTTTGCATGTTGAATAATAGTTGATTCTTGAAAAAATAAACCAATAGACAACGTACGATTGTCAAAATCAAACGAAGTTTGATAGCGATTATAAAGTTTAATTAACAAAAGGGAATGCCCTCCAATATCGAAAAAACTCTTGTTTGTCGGCAGACAACGTCCATCACACTTCAGAAATTCACACCATATATCATGAACACGCTGTTCCAACTGATTTAACGGAGTGCTAGATGCACTTGGCGATGACGAAGTCAGTAGCGACAAATTAGGAGGTGGCAGACGTTTTCGATCTATTTTCCCATTATTATTCAATGGTAATTGTTTTAGGATGATGAACATTGACGGAACCATGTGACGTGGTAAATGAGATTGACAATGTTTACGTAATTGTTTCTCATCAACAACACAACTTTGAACATAAGCAATTAGGTGATCATCATCCCATTTAATGACAATGCAAGCAGAGATAGATATGTTGAGTAGGCATCGTTCAATTTCACCAAGTTCAATACGTTGTCCACGTAATTTAATTTGAAAATCCTTTCGACCAATAAAATAAAGAAGGCCATTATTATCTATTTTAACAAGGTCACCTGTACGATAGTATCTCGACCCATTGAAATCGAAAAGTGCTTTCGCGGTTAAATCTTCTCGGCCGAGATAGCCAGCAAAGACGCCCTCACCACCAACAAACAGCTCACCTTCTTGATTTGCAGTAACAGGTTGGAAAAACTCGTCGACAACAAAACATGTATAGTTGGAAAGTAATTGCCCAATAGGTATACTCATTACGTTAGATATATTATCAACCAGACAAAAAGTAGAACCGATTGTTGCTTCAGTTGGTCCGTAGAAATTTAGAACTTGGCAATTGTGAGACACACTGGATTTCAGCAGACTCGCCATTTTAACAGAAAGAGTTTCGCCTAAAACAAAAGAATTAGAAATACATTCATGCGAATACAGCCGATTTCAGAAAGTTACTAACCGCCAATACAAATTAACCGAAATGATTCTAGAATTGCTGTCCGATCATTGCTTCTAAGAAAACTAAGAAGACCATCGAAAAAGCTTGGTACACTACCAATGTAGGTGAGCTGCTTTTTAGTCAACGTTGTGGCTATATATTCAAAATCCATATTTCCTTCTGGACGCAGCATAATAAGTGTTGAGCCACTAATAAGTGCCCCTAGAATCTCATCGACATGAGTATCAAAAGAACAGCCAGCCAACTGTATCACTATGTCCATATTGCTGAGAGAACTGACCAATACAACTGAATGAATATAACATGAAAAATTTCGGTGACGTACTTGGGACTACAAAGAGGATGCTATTAATAGTATAAAATTACATAAAAAGGAATATAAGCTCACAGCTTTAGGAATACCGGTCGAACCACTAGTAAAGACTGCATACGCAATGCTTTCCGAAGTGACTTCTACGCGCGATAGTCGATCGAGATAATCATCATTAGCTATCTTATCAATATTAATCGTAGTATCAATATTGAGTTTAAGATACTTATCATGAAACATATTTTGTGTCATTGAATGAACAAGAACTAGACGACATTGAGTTTGTTCGATTAGTGAATACAGTCTGTCTCGAGGGTCTTGAGGCGAAAGTGGACAGTAGATACTACCAGTCACTTCGATTGCCATCATACCAATTACCTAATAAACAATATTCTCCCGCATTAAATAGTATATTTGATTGATTTACTTACCATTGATATACTAGCCTTTACACATTGACATATGATTTTACCTGGAATGACTAAATGATGATTCAAAATATGCATGGATAACAATTGTGTGTAATATAAAAGTTCAGAATATGTCAAAGATTGCTCATCAAGCTCAACAGCTTGTTTTTGTGAATATTTCATTGCTTGATAAATAAATTGATGATGTATACAAGTGACAGAAGGGGGCGATATTTCTGTATTATTGATCGATTTCATAAGTAATCGGTCATGTGGTAATATTAATGATAATTCATTGAGTGACTTATTCATCTGAATATCACCAGATATAAATAACTGATCTAACATCGCATGAAATCGTTGTGATATCTTATCAATTGTTTCAACATTAAATAAATCATGTGACGCATTAATCGTACAGGAAAGTTGATCTATATTCATATCATGTTTAATACTAAGAATAAAATCATATTTACTTGGTATTTCACCTTCCCTTGTTTTAACTGGAAGGCGCATGGTATACATATAACAATCACCGATACTAATTTTATTCTTGTTAATTTCATTTTTAGTAGATTGAAATGCGAAAAATGTATTAGGAAACGTAAGCTCCGAAGTACTTGAATGTTGACTTAGAACGCGTTGAAATGGAAAATAAGAATATCTTTTACAATTTGTTGCCATTTCACAAACAGACTTGGTTAATTGAGGGAAAAACCAATGAGGATCTAATTGACATCGTAATAGAAACACATTATCAAACATTCCAATCACTGATTTTAATTCATCTCTGTATCTGCCATCTGCATTCATTCCGATACATAAATCCTTTTCTCCATTTGTTAACTTGGATAAAAATGCATAATAAGTAGTAAGTGCTATATATTCAGGCTTAATATGATTTGATGACCCATAAGAAAGAAAATTACGCGATAAATCTTGGTCAAAATTGAAAGTAATAGATATCCCATGATTTGTTTGAGATTTACTCGAAACACGATAACGATCAAATGGTAATGGTGGTAACTGATCAATATTGCAACCACGAAGTGTACTAAACCAAAACATAGTAGCAGTAGGCATTGGCATTTGTTGTTCAATGATTGTATCTAATCGATACAGAAGAAATATTGCATTTTATGACAAAGAAGTATGCGAATGATATATATTTACATTTTAAAGAATCTAGTAAACTATCGTCATCAGTTCGAAGTTGATTCGTTGTATAAGCTTGATTAAGATCATCAAGAAATATGTTCATTGATGAAAGATCGAATACAGCATGATGGAAATTTAAAATGAGCACGTCTCTTTCACCGACTATACCTTTTCTAGAGGTGTGTTTATGATAGACGATATGGCATCGAAATACAAGACCTAGAGATAAATCAAAGAGTTTCGAATTAGTCTGTTCATTATACAGGATATCAGTTAATTGTTCATCAGTGTCATACATGCTTTCGACGATTGAAAACGTATTGCCTTTGTTATCTTTCTGATCGAGGATATGCTGCATGAGCAAATCCTTAGCAGTATCGAATATAAATGATGTACAAAGGGCATGATGTTTGTTGATAATGAGTTGGAGAGCTTGACATAGCTGATTTGTTGACAAAGTATTGTCATGGAAAGGACGATAAAAAAATGCTATGTTGTAAGTTGCTGCTTGTGGTTTGTTAAAATCACAATGTCTTCTTCGTTCATCCAACCAAATTCGAGTTTGCATATAGGATGCTGGACCTAGAATGATCCATCATTATCCTTGTATACTAGAAAAAAACTTGCGTTTTGAAGTCCGAAGAGATTTTGAAATTTTTAACCAAATCAGAATGTTTTTCGCCGTATGTAACTTTTAACTTATAAGCGTTTACGAACGAGTAGTCTAGAATAGCTAGTTTTGAAAGACTTACTTGTTTCGGTTACATTTGGTAAATACTGAGAAAGTTCTAAGGAATTTGGAATAGATATCTGTAGAGGAGAGAAGTTTCCAATTTTTTCACGTGTTGGATCGAATCCATTATTTTCCGTTCTCTGACCAAAAATATATAAGAGAAGATTATGAAAGTGTTGACCGATACTGGCTGTTGTCATATCATCGTAACAGTCACCTCTGCATTCAAAAGTACAGTAAGTTGTTCGACTAGACTGATCGTAGATCATTTTTAACGCAAAATCAGTAGAACTAGCACCGTTAACATGCAACCATGGGTGATCGGTATATAAACTTAATGTGGCGTCCTTTGTCTTTGTTGTTAATATCATTTCATCTAGTGGAAGTAAGCAAACTGAATCATAAGAAAAATGATATGGAATTTTTCTGGAACATAAGTTTTTGTTTCCACTAACGATTTGCTGATAAGGTAGTTGACAATGTTTAAGAATGTCAGTGTCCAATTGACAAATCTGCTTCACTAAGTTAATAAAACTATCATTGGCATTGATTCGAATACGATATGGTAATATATTCACAAATGCACCAATCATTGATTTCGTGTCGACTACTGGTCGATTTTCTGTAGGACAAGTCACACATAAATCGCTAATAGTGCGATCATTTAATTCATAGATAAGAAGAAAATAGCATGCCAATCCAAGCTGAAACATAGATACATTATGTGAGACTGCAAATTTAATTTGAGCTTTCATTAAATTTGAATTAAGAACAAATGATGTGCGATATTCTCGTTCAGAATGTATCTCATCTCTTAGCATAAACGTGAGTGGCAGTGGATATTTCTCATCCAAACTATAATCATTGATCATTTTGTGCCAAAACTGTTGAGCTATCACTATCTCAGAATTTAAGTTTCCATTGATCAATTGTTGATCCTCATACAGAGTAAAATCAATATATTGCAAATTCGTAACATTACATTCGTTTTGATCATACGCTTGCGTAAAAGCAGTGATAAACGAAGCAGCAGAGTTATAATCAAAAGAAACGCGATGAAATACAAAGACAATAAGGTCATCCGGATAAATATTTTCCATATCGCCATCAAATCTTATCTTTACCACATGACAACGGACAACCAAACCTTGCTCTAATTTAGCAAATCGATTCAGAGATTCGTTTTTGAGTAAATCGCCAATCTCATCTTGAGATTGAAGACTCATCTTTGTTAGTTGAAAAGAATAACTACAGCTTTTCACCATGGGTTGCACCTGTTGAATCACCTTTCCACATTCTTCATCAAACTGAATGGCTGTTCGAAGAACCGTATGTCGTTCAAGAACAGTATCCACTGCTGTACGAATATACTCTATTGACATCGAACCACCCTTAATCACTAACGGTAATAAAAGATTGTTTGCAATTGATGATGTCGCAGAATTATGATGAGATTTTTCATCGAACCAAATACGTTGTTGAGCAAAAGAAGCTATGCTCTGCGCAAGTCCAGTAGCGGGAATGACACTTGGTGATAGCATTGGTACCATCTGCTGCTTCTTTATTTTCTGTGAGAGCGCGATTTCCATACTCAAAGACATTTGAAATGGATGGAGTCGCAAAAATGCTGCCAAAGAATTATTTGAAAGATAAAAATATCTGAAAAGTAGGGGTGTTAATTTATTTTAATTTTATAAAGAAATAAAGAAAATCTGTATTCTTTATTTTCACTTTGAAAAATAAAGTTAACATAAAGGATAAAGAAATTAATTTCTACTACTCCATAAACAGATAAATAATTGATATACCAACAGGAAACATCAAGCTTAGTTGTTTTTTTTTCACCAGTGACATTCTGGTATAAGATAATATCAGTAAATGAAGCTGATTCATAGAAGATTTAAAGAAAAAAACTTTATTGGGAAATTTTTTATGTCCTATAGTCTCCTAGTTTTGTGTAAACTATCTGAAAAAGATGTAATGTGGAGCTTGCGAGGAAAAATGTTTTTCCTTTATTCTTTATTTCCCTTTATAGTAAAAAATGAAGTAAACCCCTCCTCAGTTTAGAAGACCCAATTACAAATTATATTTATCCAGTCAATTAGAAGGCCCGGTCTATTATTGTATCCGAATTTTCTGACTTTTTCCTTTATTTTTCTTAATGGATAGACGTGTTCGTCAGTAGTGAGATATGTCACTTTATCGTCGATATTTTGTTTACAACCCAGGCATCGATCGCCGCGTCTGTATTGTTTTCTTTGAAAGCAAAAGAAAAAAATGAAGAGAAAAGTGGACGTATAAGATATATTGTTGTTTACGTCTCTATTGATTTAAACATAATATTAGCTTTATTATGCCGTACTATGAGTGCGAAACTTCTGAACATCTTACTCCTTGACCATCGCTTCAAGAACACAGCTGGGTGTTTCCATGGCAAAGCATCAGGTTCCTTCGGCGACCACCTCCGATTTTGATGAAACTTTCTAGGTTTGTAGAGCTTTTCAAGCTGACCATTTTGATATAAAGTTTTTCGATTTGACCTTTCTTTCGAGGAGATATAGATCAAATACTAACAGCATCATTTTTGAGTTTTTAAAATTTCTTGAAAAATGAAAAGTCGACGTTTTACCGAAAAACTCTCAATATTTTATCATGGCTTGCTCGAATTTCAAAAACCAATGGCATATTCGGAATCCCCAAGAGAAACTGCATCAGAATCCATGAAAATTTTTATTTTTCTCATAAAATTTTTATCTTCTACTGCGTCCGCCACATTGACTTCCGAGTCCTCAAATCCCGAACTTTGTGGAGGAAAATCTTGCACTAAAACCGGAGTGAACGGAAGGTTTCAAATAGGCAGTTCGATAGAGAAAAACGAGCTCTACAAGGTGTGCTGTTTTGTTTCCTGGCCACATTCGATTTAGAGTACGAAAAGCACTAAAACCTGCTAAAATCGCCTTTTGCGTGGTTTTCCGCGCGTTTTTTCGAAAAATTTTTGCTATTTCACTTACGACATCGAAAGAGACCTGAAGAATCTTGTAGAACTTTTTAAGGTGAACATTTTGGTGACAAAATATTCAACGTTTGCACTAATGGCGGACCCAGGATTTTATCAGATCCTACAGGAATTCGATGGATCCGATGAAATCCTGGTGACGGAATCGCATTGGATTCCGACGGTCTCGGATCCGAAACATGGATTTCCTGGATTTTCTAAGGGTCATCATAGAATATAGCTAGNTTGAACATGATCTACACAGAAACATCATATCTCAGCGACAGGTTTCAAATTTCAGTCAAAAACGCATTTTTGACTGAAATTTGAAATCTGTGGATGAGATTTGATGTAGCTTTGTATAGCATTTTCAAAAAGGAGTCACTGTTAACAGTATTGAAGATTTTCTGGGGGACGGCTCAGGAAAATGCTAGTGTTTTTAGCGAAATCCGATCGCAGGAATCGCTCGACAGAAACTCATGGTTTGCCACCAATATTATCCTCCATCAGTTTTAAGTGGGACCCATGCTCTGAAACGGAGATCAAGTACCCTATAAAATCCTGGCTCCGCCACTAGTGCAAATTTTGAATATTTTGGCACCAAAATGTTCGCCTCAAAAATTTCTACAAGATTCTTCAGGTCTCTTTCGATGCCGTAAGTGAAATAGCAAAACTTTTTCGAGAAAACGTGCGAAAAACCATGCAAAAGGAGATTTTAGCATGTTTTTAGTGCTTTTCGTACTCTAAACCGAATGAGGCCAGGAAACAAAATAGCACACTTTGTAGAGCTCGTTTTTCTCTATCGAACTGCTTATTTGAAACCTTCCGTTCATTCCGGTTTTAGTACAAGATTTTCCTCCACAAAGCTCGGGATGTGAGGGCTCGGAAGTCAATATGGCAGACGTAGTAGAAGATAAAAAGTCTATGAGTAAAATAAAAACTTTCACGGATTCTGATGCAGTTTCTCTTGAGGATTCCGAATATGCCATTGGTTTTGAAATTCGAACAAGCCATGATAAAATATTGAGATTTTTTCGGTAAAACGTCGACTTTTCATTTTTCAAGAAATTTAAAAAAAAAAATGATGCTGTTAGTATTTGATCTATATCTCCTCGAAAGAAAGGTCAAATCGAAAAACTTTATATCAAAATGCTCAGCTTGAAAAGCTCCACAAACCCAGAAAGTTTCATCAAAATCGGAGGTGGTCGCCGAATGGACCTGATGCTTTCCCATGGAAACGCGCATCTATGATTTAAATAGCTCGCATGAATCTGAAGTTGAAATAAACGTTTAAGAATCGTAAACTATTGCTGCTTCTATGATTCTTCAAAACGCTCATTATTGTCTTGACACGAACTCTTTTGGAAGACTGCTATCGATTGTATTACAATAGCAGGACGAAAATCTCTTATCATGGTAGACGATATGTTCTACGATCAGATCGAACGGTTCCAATTAAGAAATGTGAAGATTTCAAAATTATGAAGAACTTTTACCTGAAAGACATATTAGAAGACCCAGGGTCTACTGAACTGGGAGAGGGAGGGGAGGGGGTAACAAAAATCTTTATGTTTATTTTATAAAGTAAAGATAGAGCAATACCCCTACTGAAAAGACACAATATTCTATAACATACAACCATTATCAAACATATAGATTGATTCGTGCATATTTTCTTTTTTTTCTTGAGGGATTGCTAAGCAACGCGAACAACGCAAATAGTCCATTTTGAAAGGTGGCATACCAGTTGTCCTTACGAATGCTCATTCTATCGACGCTAAAGCGTAGAGAAATTTGAGGGTGCGCAGATACAAAGGTAAATTGTATTTAGGATTTTGTTAAGCAATTCTACCTATCAAATAATGGTGAGCCATCCGACATATATAATAGTCATGCATTATCATGTACTGACGTGATATGGGTTCGAAAAACCTAAGAATTCATCAGATGGATCTCTCATACATGGAAGAATAAGGATAGACGGTCGACCTAGTGACAGCGTCCGCATTTGGATCGAGAAAAATGAATAAAATGACGACATAAACTAAATAGATCGGAGCAGAAGCTTACTGAGTCTAGACTTTGCGCATCCACAATAGATGATCACATCAGAACAAGAAGAAGTTAATTAATTTGAAACTACTTCGTTGATAGAATTCTTATGAAAACCTACGGAACAGTTAATATTTGTATTTGCGCATTTCTGAAAAATCCTTCACAAACACCCGCTGATATACCAACACTAATATCTTTTTTTATTTTCAATAAAACTGGTTTTTAGCTGCACATAGCAACATTCACGCGGAGCTCCAAAGCCAACAATTGTATCTTATTATATGCCATCTTGGGAAAACGTTTCATAAGAGACGGAGGGCTACGAACCTATTTATTCGAACCAAAAACCTAATTTTCGAGGCGAACATGTTCGGAGTCAGCACGAAATTTGAACTACTCTGTGTATTTCGGAATTATCACAAAGAAAAAGATTGTTTTCATCTCTGATCGCCCAGCAGCCAATGCAGAAGTGCACCAACCGACCCCGCGTAATGAGGAATCCCAAACCTTTGCCATCTTCCTCTGATAGCGATCGATAATGAAGTCTGAGAGAAATTTTGAGCGAATTCTATCGAGCTGATTCGAAAATCAACCGCACTTAAATGGGATTCCCATAATTTTTGTCTATAAAGTTTGGAAATAGAGTTTCTGCAAAGAACTCTTCTCAAAATTTATCTAAAGGTGACAAAAACATTTTGGAACCTTTAACAGAATAGTATGCAAAATGAGTTTCGCGTGATGGCTTGAATCAACTGTGCTCAGTGTTACTAGAAAAACATATCACCATTAAAAGTAACCCAAGATTCTAGGTAAATTATGTTCTTTCGCCTATCAGCGAAAAATACTGCCGATGAATAGGTAATAGATCTGTATATAGTGATAAAATTCGCCATCTGACTTCTGAGGACTTGATGGGTGAAAAATTCGCGTTCGAAAGGGCCAGGCCTTACGAAATTTTTTTACAAATATATAAAGTTTAATTAGTTCGCTCTGCGCTGAAAATTCCAGTGAATTATCTCAGACCATTGTGAAGTTATTTTGAAAGTATCGTTCATTACGAAATTTCTTGAAATGGAGAAATTTTATCGAAGCATTTCCATAGAAAGCAAAACTACCTATAAATGAACGGTCTGTACAAAAGTTGTTAAGTTTTTAACAATTTCTTAGAATATCATGTCGTTTTCGCTAGAGAATCATCCCTTCGAGTAAGAAGATTCAACAATTTTGCCATCTTCCACGAAGAACAGTTCAGGAATATTTTTATGATAACTTTCACTACACAATCTATTTTTTTTCACCCTGTAGCGACAAAGATCAGTTTTCTATGAGTTGATTAGTCCATTTCAATCTTCTGTTCAAAATTTCATTAGAAATTCTTGTCCTTATTTGGACAAAATAAAAAGTTTAGAAGTGAAAAAAACTTAAATCCTGTGATTATTCGGGTTTTTAAACGTATTGGCAAGAAAAACTATGTTCCTTAAAAAACTACATGTGTCTTCCACGAAATTGAGAACCGAATTGAGTAGTCTTCTGTAGCGTTCGGTCGTGATTCCCGTGCAGTTGCTCTTAAATATACTTCCAGTAGCGCACAAATACTGACCCAAATAGAATAAATCAATAGGAGACGTGCCTTATTTCTGGTATCATTTCGAAAGGAATTGCTATCGTGGAATGTAATTGAGATACTCGTATTCAGCACATTAACATGCATTACAAAAATATTTTTCTGTACGCAAATGTGAGTATACACTAGACTTGATCAGTGTGTTCAGACATCTATCTGATATTTCTCCAAAAATGTATACGACTCAGTCGAAATTTTTATACACAGGATTGACTCATCAATATCTTGGTCGAGTTCGAATGCTGGAAGAAATGGTCAGGAAACAGATGAGTTGCTCTGAAAATTCTAAAAAAATCACCGGCCCATCTGTGTGGGAAATACAAGTCTTTTCGAAAAAAAACGTTTCGATATAAATATCTATGATCTACATAATCGGATTCAGTTTGCTAGATGTACCCAGAGATCCTCCAGTCCTATAATTATGTCCGCTGTAAAGAGGCTCACTTTCAGGAAAGTATTTGGTTGAACCTCAAAATGCCCCATGTGAGAGGTTCTAACGCAATGGGATAATATATCCTAAGGGTAGGTCACTTACTCCCAATTCAACTTAATTAAGTCACTTAATTTAGCTCTTTTATTTAACACTTAGTATTAAGTAATTAAATGTTTTTAGGATGACTTAATTATTTAATATTAGCCAATTAAATTATCCCTAATTCTCAAACTCCTTTCTTAACAAATATCTGTAGGCCTTCAAGTCCCATACTATGAGAGTATCTACGAGAACCGACAGACATTCGTATAAAAAAGAGTTCAAGAAGTCGTGGTCAGTTAATTGCCTAATATTAAATAATTAAGCATTAAGTAAAAAAAGCTGAATACTTACACCGTAAAAAAGGCACAGAATAACGAACCTTTTTCAGGAGCTCGTGAATCTTATAAGTAATACGAAGGGTATGTTATGCATTGCACTTTCAAATACCTTTCAAGGGTTTATGAAGTTAAAAAACCGTCGAAAACCGCTTTTCTTTTATACGGCTCCTTTGAAGGGCACATGAACAAACACTGTAAGGTTATATCAATGGTCATCTATCCTAACGGGTTTATGAAAGTCCAACGTATAAGAATCCCTTACGCAATTTATGAAAAAAATGGTTTAGGAGAGGGTACATTACGTTCATAAACCTAAAAGAGTTCGTGCCCCGTCTATCAATCCTTTTCGAGGGTTTATAATTCAACGCTTTTTTTACAGTGCACTATTGAACGCTAAGTAGCAAAACTTAACTTAATTTTAAGTTAAGTAAGTAACCCACCCCTAATATATCCTAGTTATGAAAACACAAGCTTACTTACACTGAAGTGTAGATTAGAAAATATTTTTCGTTGTAAATGTACGTTAATAAATCATTAGACTGTATATACTTTCCTGTTGTTTTTCAAAAGCGCTTATTTTCATGTGCCCGCTAGCTTGTAAACCTCCCACAAATTTCTTTTAACAAAATGTATGCCTCAAGTATTGTCTAGAAACAATTTTGGTGCAGAGCTTGAGAAAATGTTTTTATAGTGAATGCGATTGCGGCAGCTAGTATTCAACAGAGGTACACTGAAAAATTCCGGACAATGATAAGCCCTCAAAAAAGGTTTATAGCTGAAAAATCTATTTATCACGCTACTCTATCTTTTGATGAACCCTTTTTACATTGATGAACCGGACCAACCCTCAAAAAGCGGATTTCTTATAGGTGATGATAAACTCTTTATTGAAGGTTAATCCGGTTCATCAATGTAAAAAGGGTTCATCGAGAGATAGAGCAGCGTGATAAATGAATTTTTCAGTTATAAACCTTTTTTGAGGGCTTATCATTGTCCGGAATTTTTCAGTGTATGTCCATGTTTCCCCAAAGGTATAATCGCTTGAAATAAAATAGGATGTCGTCCATTTATGTTAAAGCTCGGGACATAATAGAAGAGGAAGGTCTTCTATTATGTCCTCTAAATAGCCACGTTTTTCGCGTGTATACTGACAGATTGGATGAATATGGCTTATTACCATGCTATTCTATCATACGATGTTGTTTATTCACTAGAATTAAGTTTTAGAAACAGGAGGTGGATATTTCCCGTGTGGAACGAAGCTTTAGCGAAAATACTTCTATCGGTAAACATAGAATATTCTATATTCACTGATTACGTTGCAGCCAGTGCAACTGATTAATTGCTTTGCGACCAAGAAATAAAGAGTCAGAGGTTAACAATTCGACTGCTTTCGAATATGGATGTGAGAAGGTCTATGTCTTTATAAAGTAATCTCTAAAAAAAGGCCTTGAGAATACCAAGTATTGGTTTTCATGAACTTAGATTGTACCGAACAAATCTAATAGTCTATAGAACAATAAATTTTCTGTTTCAAAAAGGTCTTTTTAAGACATAGTCATTTACATTCAATTGAAGGATGCATATCATAAGATTTTGATATAAGATACAAAATTTTATCATATTTCTCTACAGCATACTTTTAAAAAAATTATTGATTCATAAATAGTTCGATATGCTGCACAATCTCGACCTATGAAAAACAATATTAATATTTTATATTTGGGAAATTCCTTTCCGCGGAGAATCCCTTCATGAGAGTTTGCGGACACTTCTCACATTTAAATTCGAAGTCACCGGAGCTAATAGCCTCAGATTATTTAGTTTATTTCGTGTTGAAAAGGTGATTAATGAAGGGTAACGATTACTTTGTTATTTGATCACCTACTTCCAGTAGCATACTCTTATATACTATTTTGATGACTATGGGAAGAGCAAAACGTTCTTTTATTTTACCTAAAAATACATACAAACAAAAAATGATTAAGAAATCGACTCTTGTAGATGAGAAATTACAAGAATTCTTTATTATGAGTAGAGGGTCTTCTGATGTGCTTTTCGTAAAATTTACTTTAGGGGATCTACTAATGTGAGAAGTCTTGTAATATGTCACCCGCTTTACACAAGTGCAAGAGTTCACACTAACTAATCGGTAAGGCGGATTTTTTCCTTTGAAAAACTTATATCATGAATCACACTTTCGTATATGAAAGTAGTGAGAAACAAGTTTCTTATCGTATTATCCTACGTTTTGATCATGCAGATATTTATAGACAATCGAGTTATATCAGCACCCTTGTGTTCATATCTTTAAAGTACTCACACGCACCTTCTACGTCAAAAAAATAAGAAAATGCTTCAAAACAGTCTCATGCGTCGTCCTACTGGCATCATTGGTATCGACGAGAAATTAGCTTACGATGGGTATACGCTTTTCACACCGTTAAACGACTCTGGCTATGTTTATCTTATCGATATGTACGGAAACGAACTACATCGATGGGCACTGAATGTTCACAGAGGATTATCTGCACGTCTGCTTCCTAATGGTAACTTGGCACTTAATGGAGAATATCCAGACTTTGACAGGTTACCATTTTCACAGCATGGTTTAATGAGTAGTAGTTTAATGGTTGAAGTTGATAAAAATGGTGTTGTACTACGTGAAAACAACGACAATCTAGGTCATAGTGATGCATATTACTATGATGACGGACGCATACTTTACACGACTATGCTACCATTAGATCAACAAAGGTGTAAAGAAATTGTTGGCGGAGTACATAGAGAGAGGGAGGGAAAAGAAACTATTTATTCGGACATTATTAAAGAGATTGACAAGCAAGGTTACTTACTTTGGGAATGGAAAGCAGATGATCATCTTTCATATCAAGCTTATCCTATTCAAACTATATTTGACCGTTATCATTGGCCATGGATCAGCAGTGTTTATCCCATGTCTGACGGGAAAAGCGTGCTGGCAAGTCTTCGTGTAGTATCGTCGGTCATCATCATAAGTAAGTTAAGTGGCGATGTTATATGGAGCATCGGTTCTGAACTCCTTGCTCAACAGTCTTATGCAACGGAACTACTGAATCAAAATATTCTTATATTCGACAATGGTAACTATCGTCAAGGTCAGCCACATCGATATTCCCGCGTAATTGAAGTAAATCGTGAAACAAAACAGATAGTTTGGCAGTACGTAGATAATATGCCGGAGTCATTTTTTAGTTCGTGTATGGGTGCGGCTCAACGTTTGCCAAATGGCAATACATTGATAACCGAATCAATTTTTGGACGACTCTTTGAGGTGACTGTTGATGGGACAGTCTGCTGGGAATATATTAATCCATATTTTAATCAGCTACGTGATCCACTGACGAAGAAGCTATTACTATCTAGAAATAATGTTCTATGTCGAGCTTATCGCTATTCAGCCAAAGAAATTCCCTGGTTAAATCGAAGAGTCGAAGAAAGCAAACTACCTAGAGAAATATCGTTGGATCCAGTATGTTGGACTGGTACTGGAAAATTAGCACATTCCATGCTGACATACTGTCTTAACTTCCTTCAAACCATTCGTGATCGGCCAGCTTGGCAGCCGATACCATTAGGCATACAAAACAAAATACTTGACGAAAGACTACCTGAAACTCCTCAAGAAATGGAAAATATTTGTGAGAGCATAAAATCGCTAGTATTTCCATATAGTAATGGTAACATTCATCCGCGCTTTTGGGGCTGGGTTGGAGGCAATGCTTGTACAGTTGGTGGAATATTGGCAGAGTTATTCACCAGTACTTTGAATGTTAGTGTAGCAGGACGATTAAATAGTGGTCTTTTACTTGAAAAATGTGTATTAGAGTGGGTACGTCAAATATTTGATTTTCCAACAGCATGTAGCAGTTTGTTGGTTAGCGGATCAAGCATGGCAACAATTATTGCGCTTTGTACCGCACGCAATAATGCATTAAAAGATAATGGTGAAAGATCGGTGCGTCGTCATGGAATAACAGAAGCAATGAAGACTAATCCTATCGTAGCCTACTGCTCGAGTGAAACACATTTCTGCGTTACAAGAGCGTTCGAACTTTTAGGTTTGGGAAGTGATTCTTTACGATTAATACCGTGTGATGATCAATATAGAATCAATATTGATTTATTGAAAAAGAAAATTAACGAAGATCGGCAAGCAGCTTTCACTCCATTTTGCTTGATAGGCAATGCAGGTAGGCGAAGTAATGTTATAAATTCTAAAAGTGAAGTAGGTAAGGTGCACCCAATGCGAAGTTACAGTGCGTCGCTTCTTCGGCTAGCTCATACACACGCGGGTGCAGTTTTTGACGCTAATCATGAATCTGATCTTGTTTTTCCATTTGGATCGAGTTTTTAAAAGAAAAAAAATGCGTGACAACTAGAAGGTGTCTATATGCATAATGACTTAGTTGCATTTCGTAAAAGATCANTTAACTTTGGCACACAAACTGAATGTCTCACTTCCGAATAAGTGCAGTCTTAGCCAAATGAAATCGTTGCTGTCAGATCATCCAGCTCTGAGACCTGTAAGTGCCATACAAACTTTCATATTATCCAGAGAAACTAGCTCTTCGTTAAGAGAACCTTTTCTAGAGCCAATTTTTGATGATGAATCTGAAAATGATGACGGCGAGGGCAAAGAGAGGAATGCTAACAAGCAAAACGCTGGCCTTTTACGAAATACAACTACGCAATTATGCATGTAGACACCTTCTAGTTGTCACGCATTTTTTCTTTAAAAACTCGATCAAAATGAAAAAATAAGATCAGATTCATGATCAGCGTCAAAAACTGCACCCGGATGTGTATGAGCGAGCCGAAAAAGCGACGCACTGTAACTTCGCATTGGGTACACCTTACTTGAGACAAAGTTGACGTCTCACCCATATGGAAAGATCAATCTTGCACATGCCTTTTCCAGCTTAAACGTGCAGTATAACAGAGGAGCACGCATACTGCTTTCTTCATTGGGTAGTCAACATTTTACAATAAATGACAAATTAAGTTTATCGCAGCTCTAAGAAAAAAAAACAGAATTAAAATTATATATCTGATCGATATCATAGCGAATAAGAACACTTTATTTTCTTAAACTTTTCTTTACAAAAATTAAATTATCTTGGACAAAAGAACATTATGCATCTACTATTAGTCTTCATCTATGATATATAGATTCATAGCACAAGGTGAAATCGTGGAGGTGTAAAACAAACGGTAGGCATTCATTTAGTCCCAGTTGTTTCGTCACAATTGTTTTCTCCCATACAGTAAATCCATTTATAGTTAGTTCGAAATATTCTCAACAGTAACGAAATTAGAGAAATGTATTGTTCGCGAACAGGCAAAGTTTGAACTGAACATTGAAAGAATAAGGGTGGGCCGGCAACCATGAGTTCAAAACAAAATTTTTGCGACTTCTTACGATTTTGCTTCAGTTGATGAATGTCTGGCACGAGTGGCTGCTAATGTGGAGCTAAACTCTTGATCTATTCTTACTTCTTTTAGAATTCTTCAGTATTAAGCAAATAAGTTTCTATTACAAAGCATCATTAATAAAAAAAATCTGATTTCTAGTTGAATATTTTTAAAAGCTGTGACGAAACGTTGTGTGACTAAGTGATAGGATGCCAAACAAACTGTCATTACGAAATAATTTTCTTTCAAAATCATAGAGAACAATACTAGTTTGGAAAGATATTTTGATAGGAGACATCTTTATATTTTTATTTAGAGTCAATGACGATTTTCATATCAAATGAAACCAGCTAAAAATAGGGATCGTTGATAGTAAACAATGGAAGTCTCGAGGATCGTCATGTAGAAATCATCAAAATGTGGCAAACTCCACTAATCATAAGTGTGAGAAAAGCTATTGATGAGAGAAAATTAGAACTGAATATGATTAAAGTTCTTTATTTTTTCGCTGTGCACTGAAAAAAAATGAGTAACTCGTATAACGACTATTAGGTTTTATTACTACACATGTTCTAGACAGAGAACCACGCAGAAGCACTTCACGTATGTCCGTAGCAGCTTCCAGCTTTTTAAGAATATTTCCACAGTGCATTTTTTTTTGTTTTTTCGCTATAACGAGAAGGTCAAGATCCTGATAAAGATTTCTTTGCAATTTATTCATTGATTATTATACCAATATGCTCGCCTAACTATTAATAGTAATAGGCAACCAAATTGCGAAGAAGAAATCTGTGCCTTTTGAGTTACAGAGAGGTCTTATCATCATTAGAACAATCTTCATTTCAATTTCCGAAACACTATCTCATTTTTCTCCATCGTCCAGCCCTAAAAAAATGAACTATGATATGATTACATTACGCAGAATCCTTCGTACTGCTGCAGCTTTTAAACCCCATTTGAATTTACAATAATGTTTCCTACTAAAATATTTTGCCCGACCTAGTAGTGGAAGTCATATATTACCTCATATATATCGGAAAAGACTCCTATTTTTCCTCCAAAATTCTCATTATCTGAAATTTAGATTTGCTAAGCCTGAGTATGATCTGACAAACAGCTTTTTTGTGGTCTCACATCGCAGTCAACCAAGACTTATTTTTGTCGTTTCTACATCGTATGAAGCACACTTTTTGATTAACAATAGCGCATTAAAAGGTGAATTTTACCATTGAAAAAAGTTGCCTTATTTTGAGAAAAAATGCTTCCTCCCGTATTCGAACATCGAAAATTGGTTTTGCCCTACAAGTCCTATGCGGTATTGTAACGTGGTTTTACGCACGAAATTGCGCGCTCTCTTACGTGTAAGGATGTATTTTTTAGATCTGTTTAAACACGCATAAGTTTAAGTTTATTAAATTTTACTGCTCCAGTTAGCTATTTCTACATAGGCACGACGAACACTGGTGCAATTGATAATTTGTTAGAGTTAGCTGCACTTGCTAAAGCTGAAAATTTATGGTTCCACGTTGATGGTGCATTGGGCGGTGCTATTATTCTGAGTTCGTCACTAAAATCACTTGTAAATGGTATACAATTTGCTGACTCAATCGCATTTGACTTTCACAAATGGTTACAAGTTCCTTTTACTGCAGGATGTGTGCTCGTGCGCAACGGACAGTTACAACTAAAAACATTTTCACCATCACTCGGCGCGCATTCAAATTCCAAATATGTTGGTTTGAACAAAAGTAAACGAGGTTCGTGCGACAGGACATGGATTTCTGACTATGGTCTAGAAGTATCACGTCCCAATCGTGCACTTAAAATATGGTTTCTATTAAAAGAGCATGGTTTACGAAAACTAGGGAAAATAATTGAACAGAATTGTAAACAGGCGCAATATTTACTCGAGTTATTAGAGAAACATCATCCGTTGATTCAAGTATTTAAGCCAGTTACGCTACTCAACATCGTTTGCTTTCGCTTGGAACCTCCAGAATTAATCCCCGATGCTACTAGTATTGACTTATTTAATAATGAGATCGTTGCAGATCTCGAGGAAGATGGTACTGCCGTAGTGTCACTCACTACCCTGAAAGATATATGCTACATTAGAGTTTGTCTGATAAGCCATCGATCTACCCGCAATGATCTTCAGGTATTTGTCGAGGCACTTATTCGTGTTTGTGAAAAACGACGGCAACTGCATACATCAAGAACGGATATCATGGATAATTAAGAAATTATCAAGAACAAAATAAATCTCTATCATGCACGGTCATGGCAGTCTTTTTCTAGCTATAATTGAGGGAAGTTTCATACACTTACGTCGTATTTTTGTCTTCTTCGGTTTTTCTCATATAAGGGTATATTCTCCTTGTAGTATTTTGCAATCAAACTAAATACAATCGTATGACAACCCTTTCTTTTAAAAGATCAACACATAAGCTTTCCACGCATTTCTAACACAGCGGGTGCGATCGAATAAATGAGCCTCTCTGTATTTTGCGATTATCTCTCTTGTAGTTCGACGTGAATACTTGAACTTTTGCCAAAAGATAGCCCGCGAAATTCTCTACAAATCCTGATGGAAACAGTTCCTCTAAGGAATCGTCGTAAAATTATACCTAGTCAATCTTACAGTGCCCTAAATCAGTCCACTTTTAAATACGCATTTTATAAAACTAATCATTTTATTTCTTCTAGCTAGATAACTACAAAAATCTGCTTCGATGTATTTCAATTGTATTATTAGGCGCAGTTTTTTACTTAAATTGAAAAGAAGTTGTTTGAATAGAATTGCGAGTATCTATCGATCAGTCTTGCTAAAACGTAAGTAGGAATTATCGGTTCGTTAGGCTCTGAGTCTTAATCATTACAGTAACAAACTTTGTATCATCCTATTCCCATCAAAATCAGAGAAGAAACATTTTACTCCAATTTTTCAATAGATCTGAATGTGTAACAATTGCTCATTTAGTGTACCGAATTCAAAATTACAAGGAACCTTAAAGTAAGATCTTTTGAATGAAATTAGCGGGAAACAGAGGCCATACTTTTTCCAGCTAAATTAGCAACGTGTCGAAATGACGTTTACATCTGTTGATAGAGCATTTTACGGACTATAAATTGCCCTAGCAATCTTTTCTCCATGTGAAAGAAGGAGCTATATAGAATAGCAATGTTGAACGATATTGTTTTGAAAGTGGATTGATTTAGGGCACTGTAAGATTGACTAGGTATAATTTTACGACGATTCCTTAGAAGAACTGTTTCCGTCAGAATTTGTAGAGAATTTCACGGGCTATCTTTTGGGAAAAGTTCAAGTATTCACGTCGAACTACAAGAGAGATATTCGCAAAATACAGAGAGGCTCATTTATTCGGCCGCACTCGTTAGATACTCACAGAGCAGGACACAGTGCGCGATATATTGTTAGTTATATTTTTAATGATTTTCTCTATACGGTGAAACTGCGTTATTCTGACCACCCTCAAGACTTCTGAAAATCATTTATAGTAAAACGGGTGGTCATAAAAGAAGGAAATATGTAGTGATGGACCGGTTCGTCATTTTAAAAGACTTAAAACCGCGAAATCTTAGGAAACTGCCATCGAAATAAAATAAATGCGGAAATTTTGAATCTTATTCGAGAGTTATGTGCACTGTAGAAAGTATATTAGATAGAACACATTACGAGTCATAGGGAAAGATCGGCTTCTTTTTAAAAATTCATGAATCGTTCGACTAATCGGTCCCATTTTCGATCTCTAGCGAGATTTTTACTGTTATCATGCAGTATTAACAATTTCATCTCAATTACATTAGTCCCTCTAGAGTATCGTACAGACAGGCGGAGGACACTAACTAATTCTAGTAATGCGCTCATCTGTTCGGTCTGTTACACAAGCAAAATATTTGAAACGTGTTCTTCGTAAGGTGTTGTTAGTACTTTAATTATTTTTAATTAAAACCCCGATTTAATTAAGATAGGAGCCGTTTTTGAACGATTTCTGTACTTCACAGCATCCACCACATCGTGAATGGCTTTGCCCGTGTATCGACGAGTACAATGATGACTTCGGTGAACTTCTCCTAAGTCTGTTGGCTGATATACATCCTCGTGACCTCCCTTCGTTTTGAACGTTCACTAAGCCTAAACCCATGTTGCAAAGTATGACCATGATAGCTGCATCAGAGCGTTCTAAATGACAGACACGTAGTCTGGATGAAATACACCGAGATCATCAACAAATCTGTCTCATGTAGTGCCTCACTACATATTGACTTTTTTCCAGGTCAAAGCTATCATATATGTAGTTGAATACCTTGTAACACTTTCTAGGATAGAGCCAGCTGTGAGAACATTCACGGAAATAGCCTACACCGACTTCCATCAAAGGCGAAGCAGCGATAGTCTAGCACTCCAACGATATTCCAATTCCTTTTGGACTATCGGATTATCGCTGCTTCTCCCTGGACTTCTATACTGATTGACAAGCACGTTTTCGATGTTTTCCGAATCCTAACAATGCCTCACAGAAAGTTGTGTGCGTTTTCTTTCAAAAAGCCTCTTGGGTGAAATTTCATTCAGATAGTAACCAGGTGATCATAGCTTGCCCTCCATTGGTGCATGAATGCTCCCTATGCCCAGGACGTGAATGCATAGTGAACTAGTGCACGTCATTCAACTTTGTATATAAGAATCTGAACAAATTCCACCGAAGTCAGTATTAGCACAACTGATCCGGCTCATTGCCGAACTCGACTGAGGTATTGATGAGATGATGATGTGTAAAAAATCTCAGCTCGACCTGATTCTTCTATCGAAAGTTATTATGTATGTGTAAACGAACGACCGGCTGGCTGGCCGGACACATCGGCCAATGTTAGTAGTGTACTCACTTATGAGTACACAAACGAAAATGTTCGAAGTCTCTGCTAAATAAAGTGATGTGTCGCCCTCACTACTTTTGGATTATCCTGAGTTTTTTGTGTAAATTCTCAAGCGTGAATTGTGTATAGTGTGATTATATGTATTTTAAAAACTATTCTTTACTCCGCAGAATACCTTTGCATTCGCATCTCTAGATTCTATTTGTCGACTGCCGCAGTGCTGAAATGCAGACTGATATGACTACATCCAGCTGGTCTTCTTTCGCTAAATACTTTGAGCTATTAAGTAGCCCGGGTCGACCTAGCGCTGATGATATTGCATTCGTTCGCAACCAGTTGCTTTCATTAAACAAGCCTATAAACGGTATTCTACTTGGTGTAACCAAAGAACTTGCAAAATTGGCCAGTGAAGAAATTAACATCACTGCTGTAGACAACTCATTAGAAATGATAAAACACCAATGGATCGGAAATAGCTCAAATCGTACCGTAATACTAGATGACTGGCTAAATCTTCCATCACAGTTCACAAGTGTCGATTTTGTTATCGGTGATGGAGTTTTTACAGTGTTGGATCGAAAGTCATCACATCTTCTCATGGAATGTGTGCGAGCGGTTCTTTCGGATGATGGAATATTTATTGTGCGACTATTCTGCAGTCCAGAGATGCGTGAAAGTTTTGAGCACATTTATCATAACACGACAAATAATCTCAATGCGTTCGAATGGAGACTAGCACAATCGATGTGTGATTCTAACTTTGAAGTTTGTATGAAAAATTTTCTGGACAGGTTTAAGCAAGTAATTAGTGCATCAGATATCGAACACTTTGGATGGACCAAAGAGCAGCTGTCAACTATAGAACCATATGCGAACTCACCTTGTACCTTAACATTCATGACCGAAACAATATTCAAGGAATTATGTAAAGAGCATGGAATGGAAATTATCAATAGATTTACTGGTTCATATGAGCTTAGTGAACGTTGTCCAACTTTCGTGCTTCGTAAAGCTTAATTATGTTTATGTTTGACGAGCTTATATCAATATCAGCTGGATAATAATGACTGGATATATTCTAACTATAATTTTTCAAGCACACAGTATCAAATCCTCGATTGGAACTTTTCGTAAAAAACTTTCTAGCCTAAGTTGCAGCTGAAATCACTTAGAGCATACCCAAAGTAAGGGCAGTGACTGTTTAATGCTATATTTAAGGTTGAAGAAACGTTCTTTCTATATAGTCGGATAGAGCTAAGAACCGATCATTCTTTATGCTATTCGATCATAGTTGAACAAATATCATGATAATGAAATTTACACAGGACCTATTTTATTTGCATGTGACGTAGTTCCATGGATACTACTATCGAAATTTTTATAATGTTTGATTGAAAAGTTATTTAGACCTGCATTTTTCATCATTCGATAGAAGAGGATCGGGGAGAGGTATCTATATAGGAAAGTCGGGACTCAAAGCGCTACGCCTAGTGGACTCTCGCTGGCCAAATTAAGCAGATATAAGCGAGCCTTTTCAAGGACTTTTTTCATGACACTAGTACTCCAACGTCCCTACTCCACATTGGTATGGGTGGAATTTTCTCAATTTTCTTCCTAGAAATATCCATGATATGCTATTGTTGAAACTAATTACATGAGAAATTTCTCACTAAAAACAAATATTTCCTAAACACATATATTGAGAATACAAGTTTTTGGTGTACTCAAAAAGTGAGTACACTACTCGAATCGGTCTGTGTCCGTACGTCCATTTACACGATAAATTTCGAATGAACAAACAGATCGAACTGAAATTTTGTGTACAGTTCAGTCTCATGAATATCTCGTTCGAGGTCGAAGATGAGAATGATCTCTGAACAAATGGCAGAGTTATAAAAAAATACTAATTTTTGTCTAGAATGTCCCTGAGGGGGGATAGGGATCTTTTTGAAGTACATTTAACTTTCGGATAAAGTCCGAAGGTTCCACATTTATTTTACTATACTAAGTGACAACAAAGGACTCAATTCTGCATCGTATTGTACTTCTATGTTTAGCTCATGAGTGCACATCGGTATAAATGCTGATATTCACGACCTTTTCTGAGTAAGAAGTTTTTTTTCAGTTGACTTGATCTTATAATCTTTCAATTTCTTATAAAATGTTCTATTGTAATCGAGATTTTGTTGTTCATACATCAAATCAATCAAAAAGCAAACGGCAACCTCTGAATATAATTAATCAAGCAAATAAACCAACGGTACAATTGAGGCATACAACAGCACCTAGAGCCAGTGCTCGATGTGATTCAGTTGAGAAAAGTCAGCAAATACAGGTTAATTGCTCAAAAGACACATCACGGGATCGACAAAATGATGCTACTATAGGTGATTTACTGCTCCACTTGATTCCTTTCATTTATCATTGATTTTTGCCAGAAAATTTCACGACTGATGCAGATTTTCTATTTGATGATACCAGTAATTCGATAATATCAACATGTGGAAAACCAAGTGACAATAAAGATGAGTTCTCTAACACGTCAACGCAGGAAGTCGTGACAAAAAGTATGTTGTTTATTTTGCTTCTTTAATGTGACCTTTTTAAATTCACAGCAACGAATAAATATGAACAAACAAGCGAACAAGCAGTTAAAAAAGCCATGCAAAGCATAATGATTGGAAAATCTGTCATCTATACCAAGACAGATCTGACTATAATATGTAACAAACAAAATATCCGACTGGCTGCAGTGGAACATTTAGTCGATGCTAAATTGCTTAAATATGGAGATAACTTGTGGATCGAACCGACTCGTGCAAAAGCAAATACTAAAAAAGATTCAAAATCTATACTTCGCCCAGGATGGATGAAGTATGAACATACCTCGACGATTTATGTCACTTATTCTTAATTTTTTTATAGAATGTGCCCAGCTTCGAGTTCAGATGTGTCAAAATTTGATTTTATGAGAACTCTACAAGAAAATGTGAGGAGTCATATTTCATTAGCTAAAGTATTTTCAATTAATACTGCTCTGTTGTTTTAGGTAAATCTAAGTTGCGATGAGTATTTGAAATCATTTTATCCCAATTAGAAGGACAATGTTTTTACACACAACCATTGGAGATTATCAGATGAAGTCATCGAAATATTTCGATCAAGTACGTTTTATAAAGAACACATTCGATACGATATCCAACGATTTCGACCGTATGATTTAGAGAATAATGTGTTAAATGGGAAAAATCAGGTAGAAATGTCAGCGAGACCGATACTACATTCGAACCATTCTCAAGAAACATCAGCAAACGAAAACCCAACAGAAATGTCTCAGCAAAAAAGAATTCATGGTAGTAGAGAAGGAGAAGAAGAAGATATGGCGTATACTTGCCCGTTATCAACCAGTGTCAAGAGAAAAATTGGTTCTCATAGAAATTTCGAAGAAAATGTACAACGCATACAACCAAGAAGAATGAAGAAAAATTAGATAATTCAATAGTTTTTTATGGATCGACATTTTATCAATTGCTTTTTATTCTTCTTAAACATATTCATATTTAATAAAGCTTTTTATTTTATTCTTTTTTTAACTTGCAAACTTTAAACTCATTGTAGATTGTTGGGACATTAAAAAAAAACAATTGTGTTGTCTACGCAACAGTTGAAAACGATATTTCTTGAATTACTTGTGATTATTTATCTATCTATATTTGTCACTAAATGAGTCAAAACAATCATTGTTCATCTCCAATAATATCGGTTGAGATTACCGACGTGGAACATGCACTTATTTTAATGATGTGAACTATGCGCTTGGATCACATAATATGTGTTATGATTTTGGACAACTTCTTGCCAAAAGAATTATTCAACCGATTCAATCATGTTGTAAATATAATAAATTTATATTTTAACAAATCTTATGAGATCCATGTGATTTAAACATTGATTGAATTCATTTCTACGCATTCAGCGTATAATCAACTGTTCCAACGACATTCGTTAAGTGATATGATACGAAAATATAAAGTAAATAATATTGCTGAATCTGAAGGTGTGGATGAGCTATATTTGAAACCATATACGGCCGAGTGTATGCAATGTAAGAAACAATTAAAACCAACGTTTTCTCACCGATCAAAGACTGTTATGTCGCTTGCACGGACCTACAAAGCACGTATGAAATTTTGCTAGATGTTTCAGCAATCAATTCATTCTAATTATCATTAATAGTTATCAGTACGTGCGTTTGTTTAGATTGCAAC